GTAAACTAATTAGAAGAACCGGATTTATGGTGAAAAAGCAGGAAAAGCAGCTTTAGTCAACGTGGCCACACCGGGGCGAAGAACAGACATCCAGGTCGAAAAGCCCCCACCAGTCAAGGGTCCTACAGGAGGGATAGGTCCGAGCTGCAGGACTAAGGGCCAATCCTCCCAACACCCTTGCCTCAGTCCAGCTTCTCCTGTGAAGCTGCCTGACAAATCTTCCCTGGGAGACCAGCTCCTCCTCCAATTGCCCCCGGGCCTTGGCCTTTGTTTTCCCCCCCAGCTGCTGGGAGATAACCATTCAGCAGACTCTGTTGTTTCAATAGCCTCCTAGGTGAGGGGAGGGAGCAGAGGTCTCTGGAGCACAGCCCTGGTGCAGCCTGCCAGGCTGGATGCAGCCTCCTCCTTTTCTTTGTAATGGTTAAGGTTCTTTGAGGTTCTACCATCAAGCTGTAGCCCCAGGTTTCCTGCCCTCAGAGCCCACTCCCCAGCCCCGACTTTGTTTTGAGAGAGTGCCTTACTAAATGATCCATGCCAGCTGTGAGCTTGTGTTCCTCCCCTGCTGGCCTCCCCAGGAGCTGAAGTTACATTCCTGCAGCACCAGGCCCCTTGGACTTCAGACTGTTTATTGGTGTGTTTTCATTAGTCACAGTACCGGCTTTTACAAAGGTATTTTCTTACAAGTATTACATATATTACACTTTGTCCATGTTCCCCCATCTGTTGCCTCCCCACCTCCCCTCCCCTCCCCTTTCTGCTGCTCCGCTTGCTCCCCTGGGCTCTTACGTTCTCCTTTCATTTCACATATACACACGCAATTTTGTGTATCTGTATACAATCTAGGGTCTACAAATGAAAGAAAACATGATAGAGTTGGGTGTGGTGCCCCCTGTTAATCCCAGCTCGGGAGGCAGAGGCAGGGGAGTCATTGAGTTTGAGGCCAGGCTGGTCTACAGAGTGAGTTTCAGGACAAGCAGAGATACAGACAGAACCTCTGTCTTGAAAAACTATTCCCATCCCCCACTCCTGCAAAAAACAAAAACAAAAAACATGATGTTTGTTTTTCTAAGACTGGCTTAATTAACTTCAAACAGCAATTCAGCCACATCCCCTTTCCTGCAAATACCATCATTTCATTCTTTGCCACCAAGTACAATTCCATTGTCTGGATGCACCACATTTTCTTTATCCGATCCTTGGCTGCTGCTCTAGAGCTTGGCTATAGTAGTGTAGCAGACATGGACGTGCACATCATCTCTGCGATATGCTGACTCAGGGTCCTCAGGCTAAACACCCAGATGTGGTGTAGCCGCCGCCTGTAGCCTAGGCCCCGTTTTAGTTTTTTTTGTTTAAATTATGTATACTCAGATATAGTCTTGATTTATAACAGCTTTGTCATTTATGTTTTTTTTTTAATTTTTTTTATTAATTACACTTTATTCATTTTGTATCCCCCCATAAGCCCCTCCCTCCTCCCCTCCCGATCCCACCCTCCCCGTTTTAGTTTTAGTTTCTTGAGGAAACTCCATATGCTGATTTCCACGGAGGCAGGGCTAGTTTATGTAGAGAGGTTTTAATCCAGCAGCTTGGCTACACTGGCTGGAACGAAGACACGCCCTTAGCACACACCTTTAATCCCAAACAATGAAGGTAACGTTAGTTGGTAGAAGAAAGCAGCCATGTTTAAATTGTCTAATTGAGAGGCAGACAAGTGATGAATCAGAGAAAGATTTGACAGAATAGGATATGTTCGACTCTCAGAGAACAGCAGGTAAAAGGGAGAAGACTTAAGGGAGAACAGAGCAGTGGAGCTGAGTTCCTCCCAGTTCAGTTTGTGGAATTCAGAGGCAGGTTTTCTGGGAGAGTTTTACAGAGAGACAGGTTGAAGAGAAAACAAGCTACACACAGGTGAAGACAGAACGAGCCAGAGAATGAGAAGAAGCCAGAAGATAAGAAGAGCTTGCTAGAGTTAGTTTGAGGCCAAGTAGAGCAATTCAGTGAAAAACGGAGAGAAGCCAGATGGAATCAGTCAGCTTGGAGGGGAGTGTGAGCCAGAACAGCTGGGTTGAACCAGCCAGCCAGAGTTCAGAAAGAGCTAGAAAGAGTGAGCCTATTCAGCAGTAAGTCGTGGAGGCTGAAAACATTCTAGGCCTAGACTAGATTGTATGGAGGATAGAAGCTTCCAGGACTAGGCCTAGGTTAGCAGATGGAGGCAATAAACCTTTGAGACAACAATTACATCAGGTGGAAAAAAAAAGGATATTTATTTATTTAAATTTTATTTTTTATATTAATTACAGTTTATTCACTTTGTATCCCAGCTGTAGCCCCCTCTCTCATCTCCTCCCATGCCCCTCTCATGGCAGCTCAGCCATCCAAGTGGGTTTCCTAGTAAGGGGAACAGGGACTGTCTCTGACATGAACTCAGTGGCCTGCTCTTTGACCACCTTCCCCTGAGAGGGGAATGACCAGGTCAGGCCACAGAGGAGGACAATGCAGCCAGTCCTGAAAAGGATACTTTTATAAGTTTATATCTCCAACCCACTGTGCACTGTGCAATGTTCCCCCTACCCTTCCCGTCACCCCATTCTCAGCACGGGGGTCAATGTTGTCTTTGCTTTTCTTTGGTGGCTAATATCATAGCGCACATTCCATCTTGCTAGGATTAGAGTCAACTAAGAGCCACACCTTGAGGCAGGTGTGTGAGAATACTTCCAGAAGGATTAATTGAGTGGTGGCATCTTGCCATCCTGACTCCAGTTAGCTGACAGGGAAGGGAGAGGAAAAAGAGGTTTTCAAGAGATGTGGAGACCGATAGCCCTACAGCGGGAGCTTTATCAGGAGAGCAATTAATACCGCAGATAGCGCACTGGGGATCCAAACAAGAGAGAGGTTCAGCTCAGTCAGACAATGTGGGATACACCCCACATTAGGAGGCAGCAGGCTTAGTTAATATGCGATTGCGCATGCGCGTGCAGTCATGTCGCATCCTGTTCCCGGCAGCAGAAGTTGGAGGGTTCTCAACACCAGTCTACTGTTGAACTGGGGTGTCACTGGGTCCCCACTCCCCCACAGTCAGGTGCTGGTCCCTGGGTGTATGTGTCAGAAGGAGGCTGTTCATGTAAGAGTTTTGGAACTGCGTTTGCTGAATTCTGGAAGAGATGAGCCATATATGTTCATGGAGAAGAATGGATGGAGGCAAAGAGAGGAATCAGAGAACAGGCTCAATCAGAGGAAGGGGTACCCGTAAAACCCATGGTTTTCATTTCAGTTGCCCTTTTAAGGATATTTTTGATAATCCAGTCATTATAAGGTAGGTTAGAATATGGGGAGGTGTTGGAGAGGAAAGATGTTTTCCGGTGGGATTGTCAAGGATGCCCTCTGGTTAGTCCCGGATAAGTGGTGACATGCCCTCCAAGAAGGTGGATGGGCCATGGCTAGCAGGTGGGTGGCCTTGTTTTTCCATCTGTGGACCAGAGCCCCTCTATTACACACACAGGAAAGAGTTCTTCTCAGGCTAAGCATGTGGACTTCTGAAGAGCTGTCTCAGATATTTTATTGTCTTTCAGGCACCTGAGGCAAGTTCCTAGAGTCTTCTGGCACAGGAGCTCCTGTCATACGGCTGTTGTGTCGCACAATGACATGGACAATGACTGACTATTTTAAGAGGCTGAGACGAGACAGCCCTTGAGAGTTTTTGCCGTGGACCTGCTAGGCTCTCTCTGCAGCTGCTGACCTGTGTCACCCAAGTTTCAAGAACTCAGCTGGCTTTTATTCTGGGAACTCTGCAGTTTCCCAGCTGGCCAAACACCACAGTGTGTGTGTGTGTGTGTGTGTCTGACTATCTCATGTCCTCTACTCCTAGGAAAAGCTTATTCCCAGGATCTTAGATGAGGCCCAGTAGGCAGGAAGTCAGTCACCAGCAAAGAGAACTGGTTGGCAGTTCTTTAAAAAAGGAACTTATGGATCAAGCTGAATCTGAGTCGTCATGATTGGGTCTGCTTTTTATCTTTTTTCCTCTCTATATGAAAGAACATTTGCGTGTAACGCCTAATAGTAATATTATACTTAATCGAGTATAATATACAGTACAGCCTAACTATATCAAGGCAGCAGATGAGGGAAAAAGGTATTTTAACTTGGATGGGACCCAAAGCTTTGAGTATCTAACTAGAGGAAATGGAGTTAGTTACTTTAAGTTTGTAGGAGGTCTAGGTATGTTGCGGTTCTTTTTAGAGCATTTAATTTAGTTGTAGTTTAGTATCAATAGCAACATAGTGATATAATTAGTTGGACCCAATTAATATTTTCCCTTAGCAGGAAAATTTTTGTTTAAAGCTTTAAATATTTGAATTTGAATTAGAAGTAAACCCCCAAGGTGGAGTTCTTTTGGAATTTTGTTTTGCTTTTTGAGACAGAGTCTCTCTTCGTAGCTCTGGATGTCTTGGAACTCGCTATGTAAACAAGGCTGGTCTGGAACTCACAGATGCTCCTGCTCTACCTCAGGGATGCTGGGATTAAAGGCATGTGCCACTATGCCCAGAACTGCTACTGGGAAAATTTAAAATAAGCTTTTTGCTCACTTAAAATTCAAGTTTTAAAATTTTAAAAAATTAAAATATAATCACACCACTTCCCTCTCTCCCTTCTTCCTTCCAACCCTTCCTGTGGAACCTCCCCTCACTCCCCTGCTCCTTCTTGAATGTGTGGCCTTAAAAATACATATCAAATAAAAAAATAAATATACATAATACATACAAACACACACATATATAAATGCCTACATACATATATACAAACATCCTAGCCTGCTTACTGTTACTCATTTATACATGATTTCAGAGCTGAGTACTTGGTATTGGATAACCAATTAGGATGTTATCCTTGGGGACAACTAATACCCTCAGCATGCCTTAGTTGCCTGTAGTTCATTGTCTCAGGCTGCTCCCTTCCACACACCCCGCAGACTTTCTCCATTCCATATGAACATACCTATTGGTGTTGTGCTTGGTCAAACCTTATTTAGTCAGCCATGTTGTTGGAGTCTCATGGGTGAAGCTTTGTTGTCATTTCTACCAGACACAATCTCACCACAGACTTGCTGGAGTTCTGGCTCTTAGAATCTTTCTGCCCTCTCTTCCTTCATGTTCCTTGAGCCTTAAGTGAAGGAGTTGTGATTAAAACTACATTTTTTTTAAAACATGAAGATAGGGTTTAAGTAAGGTCTAGGTAAGCAAATAGTTACATAAGAAGCCTAATTACTGTAAGGACATATATAATATCACCCCCATCTATAGCTTCACCAAAGCCGAGGTTAGCATTTTTATCATTTGGGTGTATAACCAGCAGAATTCCAACGACCAATTTAAACAATGGCTGGATATGAGAAGATTCAAAAAATATAAACATGCAGTCTTTTCCCTCTAGGCTGGAAGGAGTCTTGAATGAGATCTTTTTCCAATTAATGAAACCACCTACTTCTCCTTATTTCCTGTAAGTGTTCTGTGAAAAGACTCTGTAAACAATTTTGAACTTATTAGTTACTATGTATAAAAAAAGTTTCTTATGGGGCTGGAGAGATGGCTCAATGGTTAAGAGCACTGTCTGCTCTTCCAAAGGACCAGGGTTCAATTCCCAGCACCCACATGGCAGCTCACAACTGTCTGTACCACCAATTTCAATTCTGACACCTTCACACTAATGCACATAAAATAAATTATTAAAAAAAGTTTCTTATAATACTATATATCCCCCTTTAATAGACATGGCTTATGTAATATTTTTTCACATTCTGTACTTATTTTATAAGGAGATAAATGGATACTTTCCTGAAGCGGTAGATCATAGATTTAGGCTAAGGATGTAAAAAACTTTAGTTAATTCGGTCAATCATCAAACCATTTTTTATATACTGCCAGTATAAAAGACTGAAGATCACAGATACAGTGGGATTTCCATACAATAAGCCAAAGTTTTAAATAGATTTAAAATGTTTGTCCACTAAAGTTTTATGATAATTTTGTAACTTAGTAGGAACGCCCTAGGTAGGAATAATTTTTTAAACTTTGTATTGTTTCTTTGTGAATTTTACATCATGTGTCTCAATCAGACTCATCTCTCCCTCCCTTGCAACCTCCCACCCCACAGAGGAAAAATAAATTTCCACTGCGGAAGATGTACGGTGTCTCATTGTGTCCCACAGTATACCCTTTTGTTCACACTTCTTTACTTGCAAATGTGCATTGAAATGAGTCATTGGTCTGGTGCAAGGTCTCTGGCTTCTGCTACACTATTGATACTGGATCCTCACTGGGTCTGTTGTTGCCCTGTGTCATGGAGGTCCTTCAGCTTTGAATCTGTAGGACTGAGCCCTTCACATACTCTAGCAGTTATTGATGGGGTAGAGGATGGGGTGGGCCAATTCGAAGCTCTGGATCTGGGCCTGAGAGGTATTCGAGCTGGTCAGCCTGACAGCTCTCCTGTACCCACACCAGGAGGGGCTCTTCTGCCCTGTCCTGGCTGGCCCATCCAATGCTGTTGCCAGCAAGAGGCAGAGCCAGCTCTCCTGAGCTCTTACCCTTGAGGCCATCTCACCCACAATCCTTCCCTCCAGGGCTGGCTCTACTGTGCTGTTCAGGTGAGGCACAGGGCCCACTCTCCCAAGTGCTGCAGTAGGTGAGGGGTGCGCAAGCTCTCCTGCTCTCACGCCAGCTCTCTCACAATGCCCAGGTGAAGGGTGGGGCCAGTTCTGCACAGCCCTCAGATAGCAACATGTCCTCAGGGAGGCATTCCAGATCAGCGATGTCTACCTGGCCTTTGGTGGTAACAGACCCCTGCTTCAGCAGGGCCATGGACTCAGGTGTGGCCCCCAGTGGCAGCACAGGCCAGGACCTCACTATGGTCCTAGGTGTCATGATCAGGCTGTTCCTCGCTACCCCTGAGTCTCCAGTTCTGCCTCCCTTCATTGTGCACACATCTGTTTCTCTTTCTCTTCCATTTCTCCACCACTTACTCGCTCCTCTTAGTGATGCTCGGGGGTCTCTGCGTGTCTGGGGTCCTTTCAGTGCTATGCTCCACCCATGCAATTCAAGGCCAATTATGGCACTGGGCAGGGGCCATCTTGGGCATGGTCTGCTCCCCCAAGCCTGCACCACAGAACTGGTGGTTCTCTCAAGCTTGCTCTTTCCTGGGCTTGTCCACTGGCTTGGGCTCAGTTCTGCTTGAGGGCCTGAGGCCCTAGTCAGGATTCATCTAGTCTCTGGCTTGCTCCCCACCCCGGGAGCCCACCTGAGCCTGGATGGTGCTGGACTGGTGGTCATCTTGGGCTTGCTTTTCTCAGGGAGTGTTAGGTCACTAACCATTCAGATGCTCGCAGGTCAGAACACTGAGTGTAGACATGGCCTCTCACCTCTCTGCCACCTACTGACACACATGTGACACAGCAGACAACACCTTCAATGCCTTGAGGGGCAGTGAGGAAGATTTTTTTTTAATAGAAAAATTTCTCCGTCTAACAGTGTTTATACAGTAGGTGAAGACTTTACTCAATGGGAAACATACAAATAGCATTAGGAGAAATCCTTTTCATCTTTTAAAGATTCATCTTTCTTTATTATTTTTAATGAAGAGCTCTCATTTTTGTTTGATGTGCATTTTTTCTTTTACCTGCATGTATGTATGTGTACCATATGTATGCTTGTTCTCCAAGGAAGAGAGCATCAGATCTCTTGGAACCAGAGCTACAGATGGCTACAAGTCATCATGTGGGAACTGGGAACTGAGTGTGGGTCCTCTGCAAAGGGGCGTCTCAGGTGACTAGGCTTGGTGGCAAGCGCCTTTTCCGACTAAGCCATTTTTTCTGGCTCATTGTCTGTCTGTCTGTCTGTCTGTCTGTCTGTCTATCTATCTATCTATCTAGCTATCTAGAGTCTCTATCTAGCCTTCGCTATCCTGGAACTCACTATATAGAACAGGCAGCCCTTGAATTTAGAAATCCACCTTCTTCTTCCTCCTGAGTGCTGAGATTAAAGACGTACACCACCAATGCCTGGCTTTTTTTTTTTTAATCTGCTGTATTCTTTCAGTTCAGTTATTTGCAGTGTTCAAGTATAATTAGGTTGTGTGTGATAGAGGTGGTTCCTCCTGCCTTTATCCGATTAACCCTCAGGTCACATGCTTAGGGCTAGGCCCAGCCCCAACACCACTCCAAGGGTAAAATGTTAACTGCAGTGGCAACTAAACCGCTCAGGCTCCTCATGAAATAATGTAGCAGCCAGTTAATCCCTTTAGCCTCAATAACTACCGAGAAAAGGAACAAGGGCCGTATGGTGTGTACTAAGATACGTGTCTGTTGGTATAATGTTTTTTTTTTGTTTTTTTTTTTTTGTTTTTTTTTAATATATACACCTTACCCTTGTTCATTTAAATACTGATTTCTCCCCCACCCTACCCCCAACTCTCTGGTTTCAATTGGATATTGCATTGTGATAACTCATTCTAAGCATCCTGTCTCAACTCTTGTGTAAACAGGACAAAATAAAGCAACTAGATACAATGTTGTGCAATGGGAGGAGCCAGAGGACAGGAAAGAGGGGAGGAGCCAGAAAGCAGGAGAGGAGTGGGAGGAGAAGGGGCGAGAGGAGAGCTAGGAGAGCAGAGCTGGAGGAGAGATCTTGGAGGATGTGGAGCATGAACCAGACCTAAGATTTCACAAAAAGCAAGTATAATGTGGGAAATCTAAATGTTAGGAAACTGAGGGCTTGGAGGTTTAGAAGGGAGTAAATATTGCCCAGCATTGTGTTCTAGGTTAACTAAATAAATCCAGTCTCTGTGTGGTGATTTGGTTATACAGCTGCTGAGGATTAACAGCAGCATTACCAGAAGATAAACAAATAGTAAATATTAATACCACTTACAACAAATGACGCCCAACTAATCTAAGTATCCACACCCTTTAAATCATACTTTATCATAATTTGGTGGGGGGGGAATAAGCTCCCAGTGATGCAAACCAAACTTAAAATCTAAAAACTCCCAGGTCAGTTACTGTCTCTTTAAGAGAGGCTCTTAAACCAGCCCAGGAGCAAAAGACAGCCTCCTGTGGGCAGACCTGAGACTTCCATAACCAAACTGGCTGCTGCTGCAGTTTAACTGAGGGGTAAAAAGCTTGGCTCTTTTATACTGTGGCTGGCTCAACTGGCTCAGCTCCACAGCCATGGCGGGAAAGAAAGGAACTGGAGGCAGACAAACCTCTAGACAGAGTTTGGCCTAAACTGCATGTAAAATAAAGAATTGCCATGGCAGAGGGTGTTTTAATCTCTTTTGGCTTCATTTTGGCTGTCATATTCATGGATCTGGTTGCAATATGTTTAATGGTGTTAGTTCTTCTCCAAGAAAGTTCAAGGAGAAAATGGGAGAAAAGCCAAGGATTGGGGTACTAAGTTACAGACAATAGTACTCATCCAAATAATTAGGTTAATAACAGCTAAAATTCAAAGCTCTCTGGCTGCAAGGTATTTGTCAGCTCTTTCTGGTAAGGGTCTGCCAATTTATTGAAACATCAACTAAAATAACCAACTGGGCTTTGTTTGTTACAGGGTAAATTGGCACAACTGATTCCAAACTTAAAAATTTCTTGTCTCTTTGATTTTCATTTAAAGGCTTTGAGTTACAAATATACTGATTTGAAACTATATATATATCTGAACAAGTTGGTGAAGGCACATGCCTTTCTTCCCAACACAGAGTAAAAAGAAACAGGGAGATCTCTGAGTTCTGGATCAAGCTTATTTACATAATAAAAGCCAGGATGCCAACTCCTGCTGTTTAGCCACTTACAGAGATAGTCTAAGATTCTAAATGACAAAATTTTCCTTAAGGTTACCATGTAAATTCTTTTTTTCTTAATAATAGATGTTATGTCCTTACTGTTCTAAAGGTTGGATTCACATCATTTTTAGGTTTATGTAAAGAGAGACAATGTCACACTGCTCTGGAAACTGCCTTATCCTTTTAAATGTGAGACATTTTCACAGGGGAATAATGTTGGTTGTGCCTATGTAAAAAAGACACAAGAGGCTTAAAGATGGCAAAGTACATGCCAACCTAGTTTAGTCCTAAAAACTCAAAACTATATTCATATGGTTAAAAAACAAAACTGTCCATCCCATATTAAAAAGAGGGCAAGCCAAAGAATAATAGCCACTATCACTGTAAAGCCCAGGTACAAGATGCCTAGGGTATGCTTAAATGCTAAAGATAAGAGGGAGTTTAAATAAAGTTCGGCTATAAAGGCATAACTGTCCACTCTGTATAAAAAAAGAGGCAAGCCAAAAAATAGCCACTATCCATGTAAAGTCCAAGTACAAGATGCCTAGGATATACTTAAATGCTTAGGGTAAGAGAGCTTATATGCTAATACTAAGAGAGTTTATATAAATGTTAGAGGTAAGAGGGAGTTTAAATAAAGTTGGGCTATAAAGGCATAACTGCCCATTCTGTATAAATAAGGGACAAGCCAAAAAATGTTAGTGCTTGCTTAATTAACCATTTTTATTTGGGCCACCTACAGGATTTCTACATGTCCAAAATGTCAGCTAGAAGAAACTCATGAGAACGGCATCCAATTTCCTTTAAAGGGGGTTGGGTATGTTTTTGGTTGTTTGCTATGGCTACAAAATTTTATTGTCATTGGGAGATGTTTATTATTAATGGTCTTATTCAAAGTAAAACAAGGAATATACAGGGATATTATAGAAATAGAAAAAAGGGTAGATTATTGAATCTACTCAACTTCAGGTTTTATTTGCTATTCCCAAATAAGGTTAATTTTAACTCTGATATAGGATTTTGCATTTTGATGCAAAAATAAGTATTTTTAATATATGGTATAAGCTTTAGTATATTGATAGAAAGTCAAGGTTACTTCCAATACTTTTAAACTACTATTAAAAGGTGGTTAGGATATTAGGTATGCAAGTTAATTATTAGTTATTCAACTCATAGTCATGTCAGACACTAGTCTAATTTATCACAGGATAAATAAACCTATACATCTTCATGTGGTGTCTGTAAGAGTTAAAGGGGGCAGAGGGAAAGGAGAGTGGACACTCAGATTGACCTCAGTGGCAAGAGCAGGCTTCCGTTGTTTGGAGAGGGATGCCTCATGACCTCTGCAGAGAGTGTGAGGATACAGGAGATTGCACAGTCTAGACACATATGCAGGGGTGCAGCACCCACCGCCTAGAGACCCAGAGGAGACTGTGTTATTGAGTAGGTAGGGGAAAACTTTTTGGGGAGGAAGATAAGTCGGACTGCCCAGTTTCTACAACCTTTGGCCTTAGGGGCTTGTGATGGGGTTAGATATTTTTCAGAATTCCACCCGTAGCGGGTTTTCCCAGAACCATGGGCCTATTTTAAGGTCCTGGTTTTGGGGGGATGGGGGAGGAGGCACCATTTTGGACCTGGCTGCTTCCTGCTGATGGGGACATAATTTTCGATTCCTGGGATGGAGTGCCTGTGAGAGAAGCACCGTCGTTACTTCATCTTGTGTGGTGGACTGAATTATGGTGGTGATATGATCCAGGAGGAACTTCTGCAGGAAGTTTAAAAGCCAGGGTAAAACTGTAAATATGAGGGTAATAAGGGGCAGAGGGGTGAGTAATGAGAGGAGCTATGACGGGAGAGAATCCGGAGCCCATCCAAAGGAGGAGGCTTGTTTCTGAATTCTCTGTGTCTGGTCTCCAAGTCTTTGTGCCCTGTCTCAATCAGTTTTGATCTGTGGATATAAAAGCATTGTTCATGGAGGACAGTGCAGAACTCTGTGGGCAGGAGTGTGATGATCTAGTCCTTTTTGCTTTTGGAGTACCACATTGACCAAAGAATCAAGTTGATTCTGAAAGGGGTTGAACTCATCTGGAATTTCTTTAAGTCTTTCTGAGAGTTGGTGAGGCAGAGAAGTTACGGAAAGCCTTCCCCTTCCCGTCCAGCTGTTTCTGTTCTGAGACCTGAAAGGTTGCCCTAAGAGACAAGCTGGACATCTTGCTTAGAATGTTTTTTTTTTTTTTTGGGGGGGGGGCAGGGAATAAGGGAAACAGTAGGTAATATAAAGCCAAGGGTGCAGGCACTCATCTAATTAGTTGTAAGCATACATAGATATTTGTTCTGAAAAACCCAAGAGTCTTGTAAGGGAGGCAAAGAATGGGATGAAAGTGAGTTTTTTGGTACAGGCTCCTATCCCTAGGGCAGTTTTCCTTTGTGTGGTGGAAACTTTCCCATATGATGACACCTATAGCTTTTCATGGGTGTTTGTAGTTCAGCTGGTCACATGGCAGAGGTTCTACGTTGTCTTTATTTGAAACTGCCCTGGGACTCTATAGAATTAGGTATTGAACCCTCAACATTGGGGTTAGCATTGCTAAGAGGAGGAGAATTGAAGGCCAGGATTAAGAAAAAGGCAAGTGGGCTATCATGCTGGTCCCATACTGGCTGGGCGGTCGGCTTAGCCTACCTGAGCCCAGGGATTCACTGCCACGCCAGATCCGTTTTCTATAACCAGGTTTTATTTTTACAGAAGGCAGTATTGTGGGAGATAAAAATTGGCCTCTTCCTCCAATTTTGTCTCTGTAAAAAAATAACATTTATACTTGATGTGGCCGTAAATACAATTCTAGGCACATTGAAGACATTTAATCACTTGTAAGGTGAGTGGTCATTAACTTTTATATTTTAATTACCTTTGTTTTAACAGTTTATAATAGAGACTCCCATGCGATTAGGATTTTAACAAAGGTAACTTATCTTTGCTAAGATTTTGTGTTTTAAGAGATAACTTTTTTAATTCAACCTTTTAGTATCAAAATAAACTTTAACCATAAATATAACCCATAGAGAAACTGGGAACCAAAGTGAGCTGGGTTTGTTGTTGTTGTTTATTTTTGAGTTGGAGCTGCCATGTAGGGGCTAGGAATTGAACCAAACTCTTATCATCTGAATTGTGAGCCTTAGCCTTCAAGGGCTCAGCTATCTATCTCTCCAGGCCCCAAGATTAGCTAGTTTAGAAAGAGTCAGTTATAAACCTTTTATTCCAGCATTTCCTAGTCAGAGACAGACAGATCTCCGAGTTCGAGGCCAGCCTGTTCTACAGAGTTCCAGGACAGCCAGGGATACACAGAAAAACTCTGTCTTGGAAAACAAAACAAAACAATCAGTACAAAGGGAATGAAGGTCATCAAGCTCCTGGAATGTTAGGGGCCTCGTATGAACAAATGTTTTACCAGGCGAGAAACTAAAACATTTACTTAAGGGTTTTACAAGATGAGGGAGATAAAAAGGTTTGAATTTCTTGTCATAAGCACAAAATTTATAGTATTTGATAGAAAAGACTCATATTTAATGTTTACAACCATTTAGGCACCAGGTCAGAGATCAGAGCTCCTAAAACACTTTTGGCACCTTTGGTCTCCGGCAAGGATGAAGTTGCTGGGAGGCCCAAGGACATTTTTGGATTTTAGTCAAGGAAGAAACTGGCTGTTCTTCTATGGAGTTATTTTATTTACCCTGAACTGCCAAGCCACTTTCTACCTCCTGCTCTTATTTCCTTCTGAAAAGATTAACTTAGCTGCCGTTATGAGGTTTGGATCCTGATCGATCTGGCTTCTTCTGGCTGAATTTTGGGTGTTGGGTGTGGCAGTTTGGGAGAACTCTTCCAGAGGGCCTATCTAAAAGACCACAACTATCAGATAGAGGGAAGAAAGGAGGTTCTTGACTGCTATCTGAAAAGAGATGTGATGGAGAAGTGAAGCCTTATCCATCTTCTCTTTTTGAGGAGTGTTAACATTTAACAAGTTGGGGCTGGAGAGATGGCTCAGAGGTTAAGAGCACTGGCTGGTCTTCCAAAGGTCCTGAGTTCAATTCCCAGCAAACACATGGTGGCTCACAATCATCTATAATGAGATCTGGTGCCCTCTTCTGGCATACAGGCACACACGCAGGCAGAATACAGTATAAATAACACATAAATAAATAAATAAACAAACAATTCTTTATGGCTCTAAACTTGCATAAATGTTAAAAAAGCAAAGAAAACATTTAACAAGTTCCGCTGTGATCAGCCTAGGGAAGTCCAGCTAAAGTATGAAGTTGTTTAACTTAGAAGTTGTTTAACTTACGTCATCTTACTGAAAGAACATTTGACATAAATTACACACATAGAATAATATAGCAAATTAATCTTACCTGAGAGGAAGCTGTGAAAGGTACACGTTTGGGTCTGAAGTGGGTGGGCCAAATCCCTTTTCCAGATCCAGCTTTCCAGTGAGCTTAAATAGCATATGGCAATTTATCAACATTATCTATGCCCAAAAGACATTTGTTTTTCTATAAAACTAAACCAGTGAGTTAAACTGGACATAGAACTAACTGTTGAGCCCATGATAACTGGCAGGGCCTAAAGCCTCTTTTAAAAAAAATCTGCATATAGCTGTGCACATGAATGTTACCTGTTGGGTCTGATGAGGGCTGACAGGAGGCCCATAGCATTTTTCTTTTTATAATACTATAAGAGACAATGTTATAAAGTTAAATGCCTTCTCATTGAGAAATCACTGTATGCACTTAGAGATGAGTACAGAAAAACGCTCCTTAGTAGCAGTGTGGGACTGGTTCTGGCTAAGGCACAAAAGGGAGCCTGCCTCAGACAGAAAATGTCCCCAGCTTATACAGGCCTTACACTCTCCACATATACTGTCATTCCTTAAATCTCGTTCAGGTCCGGATTCCAGGTTTTACTTTGAATGCTTTAAGCAGAGGCAGGAGACTACTAGTCTGGCCACTTGGGCAGATGAGAGATTTACACAGCAAAGATACCGTCAGAGTTATGTTGTTCTTCTTGAGTAGCTATCACACAGGGGCATCTTTTTTGTTTTGTTTTAATTTGTTCACTTTACATCCCAAGAGTAGCCCCTTCCCTCCTTTCCTCCTGGTCCCATCTTTCCTCCTGCTTCCCTCTATCTCCCCACCCAGGGACATCTTGAATCTCAGAATTATGCTTTTCCTGATATCAGAACCTAAAGTTAATGCAGGCCAGGATATAATTAATGGTGGTGCTCCCGAGCTGCCCAGTAGAGGCATGCTCTTTGACATGGGTATGGGCCTAACTGGAGGCCAGTCGTGGTGGGTAAGCATTAGCAGAAACGTTTTCTCAGCAATCTCAAATGTCACCTCCGGTACACAATTTTCTTTCCTACAGTTTCTAACAAGCCTGGCTCGAGCACTACTTATCTCGTCATGGAGGCAGTGCTACTTTAGTCAAATTCAACCTTGTGTAACTTAATATTTCCTAAGCAAGTTTATTAGCAAATCCTTTATAGCATCAATTTTACTTCTACAAGCCCCTCCTGTATCAAAAGAACATTTGATTTCTAAAGGTCACCCCACGATATCTGAAAATTAATGAGATCATTGGTACATTGCGCTTCGTACTTAGGACCAAGCAGGGTCAAATGGCAAAGGAAGGTGTCTGCACTTACCGATGTCTAGATTTTCCTGGCCTCACCTTCAATTTGCATATATCCTCAGATGGGAATAGTCTACTCAAAAAACTTAAGCATTTTTCCCTTTGCATGTTCCTTTTGGCTTCCTTTTTAAATGCGTAAGCACTTACAGCCCAGAGAGCATTAAACAGAAAACTGTGAGAACAGGCATTCAAAGGCATCGGAAAGCGAAAGTATGAGACCTAGGAGACTGGTGTCTAGGAGACCCATTACCCTTGCGCTGCTTCCAAGAACTCCACCAGCCCTTCAAAGGCTCTGGCCAGCACTACAGCGACAAAGGAAAATCACCACCTTACCTGACCCCGTTAGTTTGAGAGATAAGGGAGAGACCCACAAAAGAAAAGGAAGCACACACAGAACGCCTACCCGCTTCCAGGGCATGTATCTGCCGGGCATTGCGCTACGCTACTTTCTTGATATCGACAAAAGATCCTCACGTGATGGCTGTTTTAGGACCCTGGCTTGGGGGAGTAGGTAGGTTTTCTTTTGGTGTCTCTCCGTGTGTGTAGGAAGCCTTTTTCTCAAAGGCTCCAACTGAGTCAGGTGGAGGCCAGCATGCAGGATACCTCTGTTTTGAGCTCCACAGCCTGCTCTAATCCTGCATTTCTCTCTACCTATGGTATATGCCACCCTCAGGCGCCTCCCCTCCCCCAGCTCATCTGTCTCCACACAGAGAATTCCTGCTTCAGACTGTGTGTGTCACACCTGAGCCTCGGCTTCATAGCCTGTGTGGTCCTCTGCCTCTCTCCTGTGGTTTGTCCAGCGCTGGGTCTTACTCCCTCTCCAGTTGGTTGTTCCCATGGCATCACTGGTGTGGGGGAGGGCATGCTTCGCTGGTGTCTCCTGCTGGCTTTGGCCCTGACACTCCAGCCATGTGTTGCAGGCAGGGTGAGTTCACGGGCTCTCCAGCCTTTTCTTTGTGGGTCTCATTCATCGTTCAGGAATAGAGACGATTGGAATAGAGACTGTTGGTTATTATCCTGACGGTTTTTCTTTCATTCGGTTGAACCAGAAGGGCTTCTAATTCACTGTCTTACAGGGAACCTCATTTCATTCTTATGAGTTAATATTCTTCCACTCCCTCCCCTTCTTCCTTCCCATCCTTTCCCTTCCCTTCCTTCCCCTTTTCTTTCTTGGGTGCTATGGATAGAGCTTGGGGCTTACATGTGCCAGGCAAGTCCTCTGCCAGGGAGATCCAGTTCTAACTTGTCAATTTTGTAACTGTGGGATTTCCACAGGGTCCATTTCCTGACTTGAGACTCAGGTATGAGAAATTCACTCTGTCTAGCTGGGCTTCCTGCCACCCTCTGCTGCAAGTCCAAGAGGTGTGTGTGTGTGTGTGTGTGTGTGTGTGTGTGTGTGTGTGTGTGTG